ATGTGAAGTTACAAGCGACACCTCACGTGATGTATGAGAGTTGAATCATGGATGCACTGAAGGCACAGTGTGAGATAACCTCAGGCTGTATGCAAAAGATGTATCTGAAGCAAAGAAATGTTATGTTTCTATTCGGGATCCATTGTCAAGAGCGCTCTTATAAATATTCTGAAACAAATACAGAATCTGAAACACTTCTGATCCCAGTCAATTGGGTAATGGATACTCATCCTGTACATACTGGTGATATTAATTCATTTTTTTTTGGAGGTTCTAATATATTTATTTGAAAACCAAGGTCTGTGAAAGAGCACACCAAATGATCATGTGTTTTCTCTTCAGTCAGAGGCTTGGAGACGAGTTCTTGAGGTGAGCGCACAGCGAGGCCACACGCATGGAGGAGCTGGTCCTGCTGGTCCTGCGAGGGCTCCCACTGTGCACCCTCCACAGTTGATCGCACTCTCCACAGCTGACCGGGCTTTGAGTGACCAGAGCCCGTCTGGTCCCTTAGTCATCGATATACTCAAAGGGCTCTGGGGGCTCTGGCTCTTGCTCTTCCTCCTTGATTTTGGGGCCATGTGCTGCCACAGTTTCCACAAGCTCCTCAATGTCTTCGCTGGTGTCGTTCAGCATGATGATGCCTCCAATGGACAATGGCTTGAAAGGCTGGTATCTACAGGTCTCTGGCGTGGTGAGGACCTTCAGCTGGGCAGGCATAACTTGGGCTGGGTTATCCAATGGCTGGAAATTAGGCTCAGGTTCCTTTTTCTTCTCTTTTTCTTCTTTTTTCTCTGCTTTGTCCACTTCCATTTTCTCTTCCTCCTTTTCTTCTTTTTCTTTTTTCTTCTTTTTGGCTTTGGCAGTAATAGACAACACAGCAGTAGAAAAACCTTTTCCTTTTGGTACTCCCAGAGGTGCAGGATACGCAAATGTGGATGGTTTACAGTTTGATTTATACTTCACCTTCGGCATCTTTAAATCCTTGTTCAGGCCAATGACACAGGTAGGGGTATAAGCCAATGACAGAAAGTGTGAGAGAGGAAACCAGAACCAGAACTGGGTAAAGACAAGGACGCCAATCACAGAAGGCATATGTGTGTGCCCAGTTCTGGACTGTAAGGAGATTGTAACATTATGGCCACCTGCATCTAGCATGCCTTGGGCCAGAATAGCGCCAGACTTGGCCATGACATCATCATGCTTATCATTGATGACTTTGGAATACAGCTGTCGGAACTGATTCACCTTTGGACACGTGATCTCAGTCTGCTGGATCATGATGAGTGTGGAGGCTATTAGAGCCCCTTGCCTCGCGTAGTTCACAGGGTCATTTGTCATTGGTTCTAGCAAATTAATCGCTTCCTTGTTTCCTGTACCAGCACAGCAGATACCCAGGGCCATCGCAGCTCCATAGCACACATGGGGGTTGAAACTCTCCAACAACAGAAAGACCACACTGGGATGCTGCTCAGGGGTCCTGAATAGAATGAAGCCAAGTGATTCAACTGCTGCCCTCCTAACATCATCATTAACATCGCTGACAGCAACATGGGCAGGCGTCGAATAGCTTTGTTGTTACCAGAGCCACAATAAGCCATGGCCACTGCATACATTCCAGACCTTTGAAGAATTGGGTCCTTATCCCAACAGAGAGACTCAGTGAGTGCCTCAGCCTCTTCCATCCTCCCATACATCACTAAGGCAATGCTGACGGCGAGACCACGCAGGATCTTCTCATGCTGGGTTTCCTGGGCATAGCCAACCATGTCCTCGATAGCCTGGGCATTTTTAGAACCCAACACAACCAAACCTACGGCCAGGCCAGCTGCTTCTCCTGTCACAGCATCATCCTGGCAAAGGTTAGTTTTTAGCAAATCATAAACATCCTGGTGTGCAGTTCCCATGGCAGCCAAACCAATGCCCAGGCTGCCTCCATGCCGAACGATATCGTTGCTGGCATTCTTGAGCTGATTCAGCAGGTAATCGTTTATGTCGCCACCATGATTGGCATGGATGAGCACTAGTGCATAGAGCCCCCCACCTTCCTGGTAGGCTGACCCTGGAGACATGTCTTTGGGGAAGTAGGTTGCCATTAACTGCAATGCTTCCTTCTCGTGACCCTTAGGAATTACACCCAAACTGGCTGTAGCAGTAAATTTAGCCCAGTTAGTGGCTCTGGTCAACCATTCCAAATTATCTCTAAGAAACTGGTCACTGGTAGTCCCACAGTGCATGAAGGAGTTTGCTATGACAGTTGCTGTGTGGCATACTGAATTCCGTACTGCATCCTTTGTGATTTTTTAGAATCATGAGGTCTGTGTTATTATTCCGTATTAGAAATTGCAGATGTAACTCAATAGCCATTTCACCTCTTAAAATTTTAATCATTTTCAAAGTCTGGTCCTTGGGCTCTGGACTCTGCGCATCTGGTGTCTTTCCAGCAAGTGTACAGCCTGTCTTGTCTTCTGTCTCCATCATCTCACTCTTTCTCAGAACCTGGAACAGTGCCTGTGTTGGTGGAGCCAGGCACAGAGGCAATGGGGGTGCCCACAGTTCCAAGATTCTGGATCACGGAGGACAGAAACTGCTGGCTGGCACTTTCATACAAATCAAAGCAGATCTGCTAGGCCATGAGGAGGTTGTCTTCCTTCACCAGTTTTTCTAAGATGTCACTCACAGCTTGAGGATCATCTAAGAATATTAAGCACTGACAACCATTGATGAAATCAGGTTTCTCCAAGTTCATGTAGATTTTAACTAGGACTCTCAGTACTTTATTCTGGAACTGTTTATTCTGCATTAAAGACATGCAGAGCTTGAGGCTATAAACTAGCATTCCCGGGACATCATTTGAGTCTAGTATGGTCTTCTCAAAGACATCTAATCTTCTTGTCTCCACAGCGATGCTGATAGCCTGCTTATACTTGCGGTCATCTAGACATCGTGGGAACATTTTATTCACAATGCCTTCCAATCTCTGGTCAATTGGGTTTTTTTCTCCTTCAGGCAGATCTGTATTTTCCACACAGCCAGACCTGTAGGAGTTAATCATGGCTGTGAACTCTCCCCTCCTTCATTTTCCCAAATGATGCTCAGTGCACCTCATAGACACATGTTCTCACACAGGGAAGGCTGGATCCCTTCGGGTCTGCTCACTGACTGTTCATCTAGAACGTCCTACCACAGGCAGAGGACTGTCCACTACGTATCAATCTCACCTGGAGCTTTGCCGGGTACATTGCTTCATGTGTTATGAGGCTTGAGAAGCAATCATCTGAGGCTTTTAGGCCACACAAATGAATTTAATCCTTAATATAAAAGCAATGAGCAGCCATTAGAGATTTTAGATGATATAGGAAGTGATCTGAGGCATGGGTTGTGAATATCTCTCTAGTTGTAGTGGGTTCAGTGGGTTGGAACTGGAATGGAGTAAACAACAGAGAGCAAATCAGGTTTTCAAGCAAACAAGGTGAAAGATGGTGTTGGCTTGAAGTAGGTTTATGGCCGAGGCAGTTTATAAGGGTGAAATAATATGAGAAATATTTAAAAGGTAAAGTTAATTTCATTAAACATGGTGGTACTTTGGAGGTAGAAAGAAACGAAGAACACAAAAGTGTGTTTTAAAATTTTGACATTCAAAACTATGTTGAAAGTGGTGTCATTTGAAGGGAAAACAACTTAAAAGATAAAAAAAAAAAAAAAGTGTACGGTAATGACTGGAAACTGCACCAGTGCAGGATGACGTGTTTGAAGAGACTGCAACTGTGCTAAGGCTTTGGAAAGGATGTTTATCCTAGATAATTCACTTAAGCATGATTAGGGTAAAATAATGATTGGGTATTTGGATTTAGATTAGGTAACCTAAAAAGAGACCATAAAATAAAAGGACAAGATAAATGGAACAGGAAGCCCTGAGAAATAAATACACCTCCTGTGAGTTTTATATCACTTAAATTTGTTCGAATTGAATTCTATGCTGGTAAAATATTACACAGCTCTGAAGGGAGCATGGCGCTGTGCTAACTAAGCACTTGAGCTCTAGAGACAAAATGCTGTTTTGTCACTTATTAGCTGTTCACTTTGGGCTAATCATTCAATGGTTTGGCATTAGTGTTCCCATGGGGAAAGTTAAGGTAAAATTAAATTGAAAAGCACTGTAGAGAACTATGTTTTAAAAATGTTTTGATATGTAACAGGAGTTATTTTAATTTAAAAAGTAGTCTGTGCTGGTGCACACCTGTTATCCCAGCACTTGGGAGGTTGAGACAGGAGGATTTCTGCAAGCTTGAAACCAGCCTGGGGATGACAAAAGTGAGCACACGGCCAGCCCAAACTGTACCGGGAGATGTTTCAAATAAATAAAATAAAAACGTAGTTTCCATATTGTTAATTCTATAACCTCAATATACTAGGCAATAATTAAATTTCATCTGTGAATATTTTTAAAATATTAATTATTGCAAGCAAGAACCATTGCAAATCTTTTAAAACGCCACTGCACATTCATCAGTTATATTTATAGTAAATGTAGATTAAAAGATAATTTTAAATTTCACTGAATAAAAGGATACTATTTGTATAGGTAAGAATTTTTTTAATCTCAAAATGTTATTGCATAATAGCATAACTGGAAGACCTAATTACTTTCCCCTGTGACCAAATCTTAAATGCCCTATCACTTTTAGCATCTCCACACTGGAGACCAAGCTTCGACTTGTGAACTTTCAGGGGCAAATCGCATTCAAATAATAACGTGGAATTATGTATTTGATCTATGTATCAGGAAAGTACATCCACAAATACTTTCCTCAGTTATCTCTTATTTCTCCATAATTCCTTACCAAATTAAGAAATATTACAATTATCTCCTGTTTACATTCTTATGGAGCAGAAAGCCAATGAAACAGAGAAATTACAGTTTTCACCTGGCCTTAAAAAGTTATTTTATGTTTCTTCATTCAATCTAGATCTGCCTCTATTTATTCTTGCAATTTCAATATAGACATTGGAAAGCTTTAATTCAGTCTTTCTTCTAGATTGTTATTTTTTTAAATTTTTTTCCATTCAAATTTTACACTCTGTCTAAAATACATTCGGTTTTCTAACTTAGGACACCATTATTTAAGTAAGTCCATTAATTAATTTATTTTTCCTTTACTGTAATCCTGTTAGTACCTTGGTTAGAAACAATTAGATCATTCCTTAGTACTTATTCTCTTGTGTGACATCATTCTAAGAGGGGAAGATTTAATGCATAAACCCGAAGCCAGTGTTTTGATCTGTGTTCTCCACTTCCTCCTCCACCTCACTGTGGGAGACGCTTCCAGTATTCATGAGGCTCACTGGCTCCAGCTGGCTGGACCGAGCTTCCAGAGTAACTTGGGCACTAGACACAATCCCACTCATTTACTTGCATCTGACTTTTTGGCCCAAAGAACAAAATCTCATAAATAGCACTTAGAAAGACTCAGTGTTTCAGGGTATCAAGTTATTTGACAACTTTCCATTTGGAAAATTCCTCATGTTTTGCTCTTAGTCTCCTTCATTATTCCTTTGACAACATTTCTTTTTCTAAAGACAGACAATGAAATTTGACTGAAAAGTTAATAGCAAGTAAAAGAAAATCACTCGATTATCCAAATGCTGGTGGAGACAGAGCTAAATCACCACATTACTGGAAGAAATCCAACAACTCAATTCCTAAAACCAATTTTCTAAAATAAACATGGCATAATTTATGAATATTTAATGATTTTGACACCAGTCCTACTGAAATCATTAGAGAACATAGCAACAACTCATCCTATCCACTGCCTTCAATTCTAAGTTCAAATTGGTGAGTAGATTTTATGTCAGCTGAAAGATCTTGCATCCCAAGAGCAAGAGAATGTCTCTTTAAATTGTACACATGAATATAATATGAATAAGCTAGCATTAAACAGTTCAGTACCTTCCAGATCTTGTCGTTCAAAACAAGTAGAGGCTCCTTATGTTTTTGTTAAAAGGATGAGAAACAGAGAAATTATTCTTAAATTAAGGTATCACAATGCTTATATTAAAAAGAAAATACTATGCTAACTGTCATTTAAAATGCCAAGATGCACATAGAAAGGAGCTGAGAACCTAAGACCCAACACTGAATCATTAGCAAATGAGTATAAACTTAACCATAGCCCAGGCAAGAGGCAGAAGCAGAGCTACACAGCAGGTATCTAACAAAAGACAGAAATTTCACTAAGATGGCAAAGATAAAGAACAGGATAAATAACACAAACCACAACCAGAAAGCTAAATGGAGTGACAGAAGCTTCCAGAATGAAAGAAGGAAGTAAAACTACTTTATTGCATCTCACAATTGCAATCTGAAAAGAGTGTTTTAGAAAAAAACACCAAAGCACCAAGTAAGCATTCTGAAGTAAACTCCCCTCTGAATTAGCTATCTTGAAGTATTCAGCTACCACCAAAATTTCTATTCCTGAGTGCCAGTATATATGTATTAGTGGATAACGCTTTTCAATATGTTATGCATGTATCTCTTTTCAATATCCACCACAATCATTACTAATAGTATAGCATTTTCTGTCATGTTTATGGCTGTAACTGCAGCCAGCAGCTTGGCACACGTCTGTTACTTTATAAATGGCTCCATTAACAGCTTCTTTTCTTTTGGATTTTTGCTCTGAACTTAAAATTAAGCTCTGTGTCTTCACACTTTTTCAAAAATTTCAGCTCTGACTTATTATATGTGAAAAATGAGCATCTTTACTACGGATTAGCACTGCTTGACAGCAACGGAGATCACTGCCAAACACCATTTCTTTATTGGAAATGCATCCAAAACTCTAGGAGCTTATAAAGATAAGAAGTGGAATATGGAGTGAGAAAGGAGGGAAAATTAATGAAATCAAGTGAACAGTATTTTGAAGAATGTTTCCATCATAAATATCAATAATGAATATGATTAATATCAATTTATAATTATTAGTAGTAACATTTATTAATTAGTAATATAATTTCTAGAAATGTATATAAGTAGCATTTTTAGGCTACTTAAACTTTATAATTTCTGTAGTAATACATCCTTTGAGTAATTTTAAAATGAGCAAATAATAACTAAGAATTAAAAATCTAGGATTGTATTTAACTCCCAGTTGAATTACATTATATCAGAAAACACAGGTCTCCTGGGCAGGGGAGATGGCTCAGTGGCATAATGCCTGCCTGGCAAGCTCAAGGTCCTGAGTTTGATTCCTGGTACCTAAAAAAAAAAAAAAAAAGAGAAAAATGAAAGGTCTCTTTTTATAGTTAGCTTACTATAGGAAGTTGACTGGTGCTTATTCCAGATTCCAAACCCTGTAAAGTAGAATAAAACCTACTCCAGTTGTACGTTCTCAAGGAGTTGGACTACACAACACACAAAATGGCAAAATAATCGCAGTTATTGGCAGCTGTATTTTTCACTTGATGAAAGTTTGGATGGAACTCAAACAGGCCTCATGAAACACTCCCGTGTCAACTTTGCCTCTTTTCTATAGACAGGAGTGAGGGTGAATGAGTCTCCTCAGGGATTCACATGCTTGAAGCTTAATTCTCAACATGGTAAGGCTGGGAGATTAGAGAACCTCAAGAGTGTAGGGAAAGGCTGTAGGAATTCGTTAGGTACTTGGGGAAAGAATTAATGTCATTTTGTGGAACCATGAGTGGCTCTTGTAAGAAGGTTTTTGTAGAAGAGAAATCCTACCCCTCCCTGCCCTAGGGCTGCCATGTGATTGATCTTTCCTATATGCACGCCCATGGTGATACCATCCAGCATGGTGTGATGCAGGCAAGAGGGTAGGAAATAAGAGTGACAGACCCAAAAGTCCCACAGATAAAGATCCGGATGCCAGCTCCACAGAAAGTCAGTCTACTTTGGAAGTTGAATTAGTGCTAGAGCAGCACTGAGCTTCTCAGAACAGTAGTGTGTTGCAGAACTAAATATGTGATCTTGTCACTATCATGCTGAAAAAGAACACTTTGACTTATCTGAGGGGCTTGTGCCTCCAAAACATA